GTTCAATCCGGCATCTCAGTTTAAGACACGTTAACGGGAAATTTCTGTTATGAGTTTTTTTTTTCCATTTTTCATTTAAACACAAAATTGGAAACTGAAAAAACTAATCATTATCCTTTTTTTTTTTGTTTGTTTGTTTTTTGTTTGTTTTGTTTCTTGTTTTGTTTTGTTTTGGAGTCAGATAATGAAGAAAACTGTTGTTTTTTCATTTTCTTATTTTTGGTTTTACTTTGAAAAAACAAATGAACGAACGATACATGGATTGTGTATCGATACTAAAAAACAAAATTGAATCGTTCCTGAAAAGCTTTAGAATGATCTTGATGTATCGTAACAAATCTAAAGCTGCGTTTAGTTTAATCGCAAAGTCTACGTGCGATTTTGTGGAACAAGAATCTGGCATCAACATGTCAACCAATCAGGGACGACTCTCCAGTGACGTAGTAGTAGTAGTTTTATTATTTGGTCAGTTTGCACTCGATGATTTTAATCTTAGCATCTTTTTGTAGGTATTTGTTATATCATGAGGTCTCTCTCTTTTTTGATTGGGCTGGACATGGGCTATATTTTAAGATCCATTGTGTATATATAGACGTGTACTGTATTTTCTGCACTATTAGTCGCTCTGGATTATAATGGTTAAATTAAATGATCTATTGTTGAACTTTTTTCACAAATAAACCGCGCTGGACTTTAAATGAAACCCAACAGTGTGATGGGTGAGTGGTTTTGTTTGTTTGTTCGTTCACGGTGACTCTGGGCTTTGTTCAGTTGTGGCGTGTAGGGAGGGTGTGTCTGTCGCTGGATTGTCGGCGTGTTCGCGGTGACTCGGTTGTTCAGTCGTGTCTAGAAGCGTCACGTCGCGCTCGCTTTTTCGGTTCGTTCCTCCGTTCCGTTCCTCGTCGGCGTGGAGTGATGAGTGTCTGTGGGTGTGTGTCGCTGTGCGGTCGCTGTCTGCTCCGTGTGTGTTTGTGGCTTTGTAGTTTACTGAAGTCGTACTGGGACACCCGAGTGGATTCGTGTGTAGGGCTCTGGATTGTGGGGCATGATCGTTTTTTGATGCGGTTGGAGGCTTAAGAGCGCGTCTAATAGTCCGGAAATTATGGTATATTGTAGTATATTGTAGTATATTATAATATATTGTAGTATATTGTTGTATATTATAATATATTGTAGTATATTGTTGTATAATGTAGTGAATATTTCCTTACCCAGTGTTTTGTGGTGATGGTGCCCAGGGTCATGGGCTGTTTGATCTAATTTAGTGCAGTATATTGTATTATAGATGTGTCTTATAATAAAATATAATAAATAATATTTTATAGTGTATTGTAGTGTATTATAGTGTGCTGTAGTATATTTTATTATATTGTAGTATGGGCGCTCTGGATTGTGGCGCACAGTTGTTTTTTGATGGGGTTAGAGGCTTAGAAGCGCGTCTAATAGCCCAGAAAATACAGTAAATCTCACAATTTGTAAGACGGTGTGTGGGATTTTTCTCTGTAGTATGTAAACTATAAAAATCCACATTACTACACTTAAAATAAGTAAAACAACAACTTTTTGCTCTAAAAATAAGACATAAAATTGAATTTTGCTTGAATTAAGAAAAACACTCTTATTCCATTGGTCGATAATTTTATTTGTCAAGTTGAATCGACTCAAATAAAGTCAAATGCTCTTAATTTAAGTTATTATAAGTTATCTAGATTTTTATTTTATTTTATTTACACTGTATGTGCTCTTTATTACTTAAAGTGTTTTCCTTTATTAGTTTTACTACTTTATTACTTATAAAAGAATGAGAACTTTGCACATCAATTGTCCTAATGTCCTAAAAAATCCTAATAAAACGTAATAAATCGTATTTTGTAATTGTGGGGCGCACAGTTGTTTTTTGATGGGGTTAGAGGCTTTTGAGCGAAAATACAGGTAAATCTCACAATTTGCAGTAAGTAAGACTTTCTCTCTCTCAGATTTTTCTCTATAGTATTTAAACTATAAAAATCACACATTACTACACTTAAAATAAGTAAAACAACAACTTGTTGCACTTAAAATAAGACACAAAATCGAATGTTACTTGAATTAAGAAAAAAACTCTTATTCCATTGGTCGATAATTTTACTTGTCAAGTTGAATTGACTCAAATAAAGTCAAATATTCTTAATTTAAGTTATTATAAATTACCTAGATATTGTTTTTTTTTCCAGTGTATGTACTCTTTATTACTTAAAATGTATTCCTTTATTAATTTTATAATTTAAGAATGAGAACTTTGCGCATCAATTGTCCTAATGCCCTAAAAAAAATCCTAATAAAATATAATAAATCGTAATAAATCTCACATTTTGCTGGTAAAATTCCGGATTTTTCTCTCTGTTACTTTATTATTTAAAATTAATTCCTTTAATCTTTATTACATTGATTATTTAAAACGCAATGAACCCCAGTGCCATGTTTTTTTAATGTCCATATTATTATTATTATTATCCTCTTGTTCTTTTTAATTTAATCCATTAGCATTAGCTCTTCGCGCCGCTTCCCGTTAGCATATTTCAGCCCACATTACGGCTCAATAGAAACGTGCGCACGTCTGTTAGCTCTGAGCTTAGCGTATGTTTCGCTAATGCGTCGCTAATGCTTCACTTTTGTAGCCGGGCTTGTAATCGCTTGGACACGGTTCGCTCGTGGTCAAAGCGCGGCCCGAGCCTCTATTGAAAAAGAGCAGTCCCGATTAGCATTTGTAAAGAGTCGCCGCGCGGGCCTGAATAATGCATTTTTAAACTCGCGCACTTAGCATGTTAGCATTTAGCCTCCCGTCGTCGTCGCGTGTATTGACTTTTCCCTCGTCTCGCTCGAAAGCTTCCTGTGGCCTTGTGGGGTTTGTTGTTTTTTTAAGACCTTGTAAAAGCATTTAAGAGTCTCCTTTTGTTACGAGCTCTTTGGGCAATTATCAGAGAAGATGGTTGTTAAAATTCTACCCCAAGAAAATACTCAAAATTTAAAAAAATAAAAAGGCAATTAGAACAGATTATACACGAAAATTGTTGTTGTAAATATTCGTTCATCCGTCAAATTCCCTTCACACTATAACAACAATAATCCGTGTGTCATTCGTTCATTTGTTTTTCAAAATAAAACCAAAATAATAAGTCTCCAAAATAAAAATAAAAATAAAAAACAGATAATGATTAGTTTTTTCAGTTTTTGATTTTGTGTTTAAATGAAAAATGGAAAGAAAAAAAAAAAAAACGGATAACGACCGTTTCCCGTTTATGTGACTCCGTGACTGTGATGCCGGACTGAACCAGGACTGATCCAGGTGCATGACCAGACCGGAACCAGACCGGAACCAGACCGGGACCAGACCGGGACCAGACCGGGACCAGACCGGGACCAGAGTAGACGCCGAGCTTTGACTCCGAGCCTCAGCTTCGAGCTCTGGCCCTGCCGTGGGGTCTGAGCCTCCGATCTGGTCCCTGTCTGGTCCCGGTCTGGTCTCAGTCTCAGTCCCGGCCTGGTCTCGGTCTCAGTCCTGGTCTGGTCCCGGCCTGGTCTTGGTCTCAGTCCCGGTCTGGTCCTGGCCTGGTCTTGGTCTCAGTCCCGGTCTGGTCTCAGCCTGGTCCTGGTGTGGTCTTGGTCTCAGTCTCGGCCTGGTCCCGGCCTGGTCCTGGTCTGGTCTCGGTCTCAATCTAGGTCTGGTCCCGGTCTCATTTCTGATCTTAGTCTCGGTCTAGTCTTCGTCTGGTCCTGGTCTGGTCTGGGTCTCAGTCCCGCTCTGGTCCCAGTCTGGTCTCAGTCTCAGTCTGGTCCCGCTCTGGTCCTGGTCCTGGATCAGTCCTGGTTCAGTCCGTATGCAGCGCAAAAGTTCGGCATCACAGTCACAGTAAACGGGAAATGGTCGTTATCTTTTTTTTTTTTTTCATTTAAACACAAAATCAAAAACTGAAAAAATTAATCATTATCTGTTTTTTTTCATTTTGGTTTTGGAGACAAATAATGAAAAAAAAAAACTGTAGATTTTTTAATTTTCTTATTTTTGGTTTTATTTTGAAAAACAAATGAATTAATGACACACGGATACACAGACTTTTGGAAGCGTTATCAGTGAAAATTAGTTTGATGCCAAAATGTTGCTCAAAATAAGAAAAAATAAATAAAAAACGCAAACAACAATATTCGTACATCCGTCTTTTCACTTTTGGAAACTTTATCAGTGAAAATTAGATAAAACTGACTCCAAAATGTCTCTCAAAATAAGAAAAAATAAACTAAACTAAAATAATATTGTTACAAAAATTGGCAAAACCGTCAAATTCTTGTGAAGGGAAATTAAATAAAATTGTTAGACGCATTATTTTGGAAATTATGAGCAAAGAATATTGATAAAATTGCTTCCCAAAACATTACTAAAAAGAATAATAAAAAATATTTGCAACTAAGAAGAATATGAATAATGGAAAATCATATTTGGATAAGAAACATTTATCTTTTTTTTTTGTTTTTTTTTTTGTTTTTAGTTTTGACTAAATGGGAGCTAAAGAAACATAAACTGATGAATGTTTTTGTCTTTAGGGACGATACTGAAGGCCTTTTACTTTTTTACTTTCCTTTGTACTGTGAATTGTTATTTATTTGTTTATTTATTTGTTTGTTTATTTCATTCATAAATTTTAAAAATACTTTAACCATGTCTAATATTAAACGTACAAGAAATGAATGAAAAGAAGCAGTAAGAAGAGTCGTCTTACGTTATTTGGCCCTATTTTCTTAACTGTCTGCATCTAATTATGAAACGTTTTATTGTCAGAGAATCAGGAAGTGCACATTAGCATGATAATTGTTGTTACTGTAACATTCTGGTCTCAGGTGAATGAGGAGTAACTTTGGACCTCTGCAAATGTTTAAAATGAATTGATTCTGTTTTTCATGTTTTTTAAGACTCTAATGACTCGTGTTTGTGTGTTTGTTTGTGTTTTTGTGCGTTTGTGTTTCAGGGAAACTGAGCAGTCAGGACTCGTACAATAATCTGTCCAACAACAGCATGGGGAACCCGCGCGTGTCGCCCCTGCCCAGCCTCACCGTGGTCCTGCCCCTGGCACAGATCAAACAGCCCATGACCCTCGGCACCATCACCAAACGCACCGGGTAAGGAAATATACAACACAATACTCAACAGAGTACTACAAAATACTACAAAATACTACACAAAATACTACAATATACTATATACGCTATAATACACTATACACTATATACTACAATATACTATAATACACTACAATATACTATAATACTATACAAAATACTACAGTATACTACAATACACTATAATACACTACAATATACACTACAATATACAATACACAATACACTACTACAAAATACTACAAAATACTACAATACTATAATACACTACAATATACTACAATATACTTATATTATATTATACACACCTATAATACAATATACTGCACTAAATAATATCAAACAGCCCATGATCCTGGGCACAATCACCAAACACACTGGGTAAGGAAATATACAACACAATACACACTACTATATATAACAATATACTGCAGTATACTATAATACACTATAATATACACTACAATATACTGCAATACACACTACAGTAAACTATAATATACTACACTACATTACAATATACTACAATACACTACTATAATATACTACAATATACTATAATATACACTACAATATACTATAGTACACTATACTATACTACAATATAATACAGTACACTGTACTACAATACACTGCTGTTTGTCTTTTCATAACTTCTTGTTTTTCAGTCAGAAAACAGGAACTGACAAATAAGGGTGAAAGGTCAATTTTTCACATACAAATATTTCTTCATTATAGCAACTAACTGTCGACTTTTGGGAGCCCTGCCTGTTATACTTTTGTCTGGACAAAACTCAAACTCTGAAGTCATTTTTCTCAGTTTTACTCTGGAGAGTTAAAGACTTTTGCTTTTGTAGAACAGAACAGGTCGTCACCAAACGCAGTACGGACATATGTAATACTGTAAAATATACAATATATTACAATTTACAACAAAATACTATAATACACCACATACTACACTATACTATAATAAATTACAATGTACTGTACCCCACTCGTATTTTAGAGCATCACCAAATACACAGGGTAAGGACAGATAAAATACTAATATACTACTACACTATATTATAAAATATATATACAATATATTAGAGTTGTCCCGACCCGATCACATGATCGGAAATCAGCGCCAATCACGTGACTGTGGACTCTATCCGGTCTCGGCCGTTAAGGTATCGGATAAATAATATACGTATAGAAAATACACACAGCACACAACGTTTTATTTAGTTTTTTTTTACTGAGGTGAGGGATTTGTTCAGTAACATCCAGTCAGTGCGTCTGTCTGTCCCAGCGTCTGTTGTACTAGAGACGCACTTACGCTGAGACTTTTGGGCCGTGTCGTACTCGGGCGCTGTTACCTGAGGTTCTGTGGTCCAAGTTCACACCTGCGATGTCTCTGATGGCGTCATCGCAGGTGCTGTTTGTTTGTTTGTTTGTGTATTGCGCAACGGAGTTGGCGCTTTTGGCGGTGAGGGTTCGTCCAGTCGTCTGTTGAGCCATGGGACCGATGTTGCTCTGCTGTGGGTTTGTGGCTGTGGTGTCGGTGCGGGGGGAGAGAGTCTGTGGAGCTTCTGTCATCTCATTTTATTTGGTAAAATTTTGTATTATTTGGATTTCATAGACGAGCCTAAATGTTTCAAATATAAAGCACATGCAAACATATAATATCAAATGTACAAAGTGTAGATTGTGCAGTCGAGTCTCAGGTCTGATCTGGTTCTGGTCTAGTTCCTGTTTTGTCCAGTTCATTAAGTTTACTAAGTTACACATTCCAAGACCAAACTGTGAAAAGTCAAGATTTTTTCAACGATGATGGTTCATGGTTAGAAAAGTTAATAAAAATACTCCACATGAAATCAACACAATCTGATCCCGCAAACATCCTGGATCTTATTCTTTGCTCTTAGTTCATTTTATAATGTTTTATAGAAGTATCGGATCAGGACTCGGTACCAGCAAATACTCAAAATCAAATGACTCGGACTCGGGGGCAAAAAAAAATGTGATCGGGACACCCCTACAATATACTGCACTCACTCATGTTTTTGTGTTTAATTATATCAAACTGACACCAAACACACACACACACACACACACAAGTCTCACTGAATTAAACCTGAAATGTTTTTTGTTTTTTTAAATTTTAACTGATTCTTGTTCTTGTCACGTTGGCCCCGGACTCTAAAACATTCTAACGTTTATTTATTGATTTTATTGAAGACATGTGTTCCAAAAGTGCATTCCAAGAGTAAATATTTCGGATTGTAGCAGAATCAGCGGGAGTGGCTCCGGGCCCCTGTGCTGCTCACTCTCTCCCTGCTCTCCTCTCGGGCCTGTTGGCTTGGATTAGATCAGATAATACTTCATTGTCACATCATAGATCCCAAATTTGTTTCACGCACACACACACGGACACACATAAACACACACACACACACACACACACACACGGACACACATAAACACACACACAGAGCTTTAGTCGTACACAGTGTTGGGAAGGTGACTTTTAAAATGTAATCCCCTACAGATTACAGATTACACACCCCAAAATGTAGTTTGTAACGTAATCCATTAAATTACTTGAAGTGAGTAACGTAATCTGATTACTTTGGATTACTTGATATTGTCGTGCTTTTTAAAACTACAAGAATGTAGCGACCACATCCTGAAAATTCCTCCTTGATTACTGGTTTAGACCTGGTTTTAGACCTGGTTTAGACCTGGTTTAGTCCTGGTTTAGTCCTGGTTTTAGTCCTGGTTTAGTCCTGGTTTAGTCCTGGTTTTAGTCCTGGTTTTGGTCCCTGGTTTTAGACCTGGTTTTAGTCCTGGTTTTTAGTCCTGGTTTTAGTCCTGGTTTAGAGTCCTGGTTTTAGTCCTGTTTTAGACCTGGTTTAGTCCTTGGTTAGTCCTGGTTTAGCCTGGTTTTAGTCCTGGTTTAGTAGTTTAGTCTGGTTTAGTCCTGGTTTTTAGTTTTTTAGTCCTGGTTTTAGTCCTGGTTTTAGTCCTGGTTTAGTCCTGGTTTTAGTCCTGGTTTTAGTCCTATGGGTTAGTCCTGGTTTAGGTTTTAGTGTTGGAGTCCTGGTTTTAGTCCTGGTTTAGACCTGGTTTAGTCCTGGTTTTCCTAGTCCTGGTTTAGTAGTCCTGGTTTTAGTCCTGGTTTAGTCCTTTTAGTCCTGGTTTTAGTCCTGGGTTTAGTCCTGGTCCTTAGTCCTGGTTTAGACCTGGTTTAGTCTGGTTTTAGTCCTGCCTTTTAGGTTTAGTCCTGGTTTAGTCCTGGTTTTAGTCCTGGTTTTAGTCCTGACCCTGGTTTAGTCCTGGTTTAGTCCTGGTTTTAGTCCTGGTTTAGACCTGGTTTAGTCCTTTTTTAGTCCTGGTTTAGTCCTGGTTTAGACCTGGTTTAGTCCTGGTTTAGTCCTGGTTTTAGACCTCCTGGTTTTAGACCTGGTTTTAGTCCTGGTTTAGTCCTGGTTTAGTCCTGGTTTAGTCCTGGTTAGTCCTGGTTTAGTGGTTTAGCCTGGTTTTAGTCCTGGTTTAGTCCTGGTTTAGTAGTCCTGGTTTTAGTCCTGGTTTAGTCCTGGTTTTAGTCCTGGTTTTAGACCTGGTTTAGTCCTGGTTTACCTGGTTTTGGTTTTAGTCCTGGTTTTAGTCCTGGTTTAGCCTGGTTTAGCCAAATGTCGAAACAGGAAAATCCCTCATTTATTTCAACAAAGTAACTGTAATCCAATTCCCACTCACTGAAACAGTAACTGTAACTGAATACAGTTACTCATCATTTGTACTCTGATTACTTAACTCCGGTACTTGTAATCTGTTACTCCCCAACACTGGTCGTTCATCATATAAACAGCGACAGAGGAGAGGACGGGTCACACACACAGACGCCTCCGGGGCCTGCGCACATACACCGGTGTTTGGAAAAATATTTAGTAGAATTTACATTTTTCTTTTTTTTTTTTAATACTGGAAATATTATGTTGCGTTTCAGAACATGTTTGTAGAAGTCACAGGAAGGGCATCTGACGCAAAGAGACAAAGACGAAGAGTAAATTTTGTGTGACCAGATGTTCCTTTTGACCCGGGACAGTCCCACTTTTGAGTCCTGTGTCCCCCGTCCCTGCAGATTTATACAAAACCAGTGATTTGTCCCAGTTTGAAACAAGAAATTTTCCAATTTTTGACCAATCTGATCCTTATATTGACATTTGTTGAGGTAAAATGACAGAAAAGCTGCTTAAAATGACCAAAACACAAAGAAAATGTGACTATACTGACTCATGTTTGTCATAAATGGGCCGACAGTTTTCCTTAACCCTTCCGGACAAATGTTTTGATTTTTCTTGAAAAGCTGAGAGTTGTTTGCCTGATTCATCAACCGGTTTCACTTCGTAGAAACCGTCTGACCTCACAGCGTTAGGATTCGTTCGCTCGACCGTAGGCGGGTACTTTTTTAATTTAACCAATCGCTGTTGTTTGGTCGTGACGTTTGTAATGCGCCAAATCTCGTAGGAAGAAGAACAATAACGTCTTTCCTCTTGATAAAATTAACCAAACATTCTCTTTGTTCCAGCTTTAAATCCTCGATCTCGGGAATCGTTGCCGACACAGAATGTATGACTCTTTCCGGGTTCTTGTAAACCGTCTAGAACACGGGTGTCAAACTCCGGGGGCCATATCCAACTACTTTAATCCCAAAAGGGCTGGATCAGAAAACTCATGTCATATAAACCTCAAAAATAGCAATAAGTTTAATTTTTGTGCAGAGAAACACAAATCTATTACAGAAATCTTTTTTAATTGATGAACTCTTTCTTATTATAATATTATAATATTATGAACAACCTGAAACTTTAAGAAAAATGCAATTTCAACACAATGTTTTAACATGAACTTATATGTAAACAGGAATAAGTCAATTTTTGTTGTAAAATCCTGCACTCGGCTCCACTTTTCTCATGTTGGACATTTTTCTGAGACCAGGACTAGACTGAGACCAGGACTAGACTGAGACCAGGACTAGACTGAGACCAGGACTAGGACTGAACCAGGACTGATCCAAGGACTAAAACAGGTCTAAACCAGGACTAAACAAGGTCTGAACCAGGTCTAAACCAGAACTGAACCAAGAGTAGACCAGATCCCGGTGTCAGTCCTGGTCTGGTCCCGATCTCAGTCCCCGTCTCGGTCCTAGTCTCAGTCCTGGTTTAATCTTGGTTTAGTTCAGCATGACTGTTTAAGTCACAAAATGGGAAACAACCATTATTCTTTTTTTTTTTTTTTTTTTTTTTTTTTCATTTAAAAACAAATTCAAAAACTTAAAAAACAAATCACTATCTTTTTTTTTCTTTTCTTTTTTTTTTGGTTTTGGAGACACATAATGAAGAATTATTATTTTTTTTTCTTATTTTTGTTTTTATTTCGAAAACCGAACGAACCAACGACACACGGATTAATCACACTCTCGTTTCACAATTTTATTAACACCAACCGAAAGTATCACCATTTTTGTATAACCAGATCCCGGTGTCAGTCCTGGTCTGGTCCCGATCTCAGTCCCCGTCTCGGTCCCAGTCTCAGTCCTGGTTTAGTCTTGGTTTAGTCCTGGTTTAGTTCAGCATGACTGTTTAAGTCACAAAATGGGAAACAACCATTATTCTTTTTTTTTTTTTTTTTTTCATTTAAAAACAAATTCAAAAACTTAAAAAACAAATCACTATCTTTTTTTTTTTTTTCTTTTTTTTTTTTTTTTTTTGGGTTTTGGAGACAAATAATGAAGAATTTATTTATTTTTTTTTCTTATTTTTGTTTTTATTTCGAAAACCGAACGAACCAACGACACACGGATTAATCACGCTCTTGTTTCCCAATTTTATTAACACCAACCGAAAGTATCACCATTTTTGTATAACCAGATCCCGGTGTCAGTCCTGGTCTGGTCCCGATCTCAGTCCCCGTCTCGGTCCCAGTCTCAGTCCTGGTTTAGTCTTGGTTTAGTCCTGGTTTAGTTCAGCATGACTGTTTAAGTCACAAAATGGGAAACAACCATTATTCTTTTTTTTTTTCTTTAAAAACAAATTCAAAAACTTAAAAAACAAATCACTATCTTTTTTTTTTTCTTTTCTTTTTTTTTTTTTTTTGGTTTTGGAGACAAATAATGAAGAATTAATTTTTTTAAATTTATTTTTTATTATTTTTGTTTTTATTTTGAAAACCGAATGATTAATCACGCTCTCATTTCACATTTATTTATTTTTTTTACCAACCGAGATTGTGAGGTTTTTTTTATCTAGTCTCCTTCAGTAAACTTCAAGGTGAGCAGCTTTTACGCTAACTTCCTCCGTCCTGATCTGACTTCGGCCTCGTTTCTCTGCCCGTGTCTCTCGCTTTTTGCATATGAGTGTTAAAGACGTGCGCGCGAGCCGAGCCGGTGCCCCCGCGCGTGTTTGTACAGAGGCCAAAAACAACACTTGCATTTTAGTCGTACAGGTGGCCACAAACGCAAGGCCTTCATTTAAATAGTCGGATTTAAATGTGATTTTCATGGCCTGTTTGAATAGTAAATCCTAATAATGGGAGTAGCAGATGTGAGGGCTTAATGACGCGGGGACATCTGATAAGTCCTAAAGAAAATAGAGCCTGCGCTGCGGTCGACTCACTCCAAACACGGGCCTATTTTCGATCATTAAAAGAATTTGTTTTGTAAAATGGCGTATTAATATTCGGGCCCCGGCAGCGGTTTGGGTTCTGTTGTGATTTGGCATTTGCATTTTGATTTTAGGCGCGTTTTTTGTTTTCGCTTTGATGAAACGATACGAATGAAAGTTGTAAAGGTGATTTTTTTTTCAGATCAGATATCGGTTTAGTGAAATCGTCGAGTTGAGTTTGAGATTAGACGCGCGATGTGTTTTATAATAAAGATAAATAAAGAGGAGCAGATGAGAAGGTCAGAGGAGCAGAAGATGAAGAGGAGAAGGTCAGAGAATGAAGAAAATGGGGTCAGAGGAGAGGATCAGAAGATGCAGAGGAGAACAGGTGAGAGGATGAAGAAGAGAGGGTCAGGGGATCACGGAAGATGCAAAGTAGAAGGTCAGAGGAGCAGAAGATGAGGAGGAGAGGATGAAGAAGAGAAGGTCAGAGGGTCAGAGGATGAAGAGGAGGAGGTCAGAGGAGCAGAACATGCAGAGGAGACGGTCAGAGGATGAAGATTAGAGGGTCAGAGGAGCAGAAGAAAAAAATGAGAGGGTCAGATGGAAGAGAGGATGAAGAAGAGATGGTCAGTGGAGCAGAAGATGAAGATCAGAGGGTCGGAGGAGCAGAGGTGAAGGTCAAATAGAGCAGAGGATGAACAGGAGAAGGTCAGAGGAGCAGAGGATGAAGAGGAGAAGGTCAGAGGGTCAGAGGATGAAGAAGGGAGGGTCAGAGGAGCGGAGGAGAAGGTCAGAGAAACAGAGGATGAAGAGGAGAAGGTCAGAGGATGAAGAAGAGAGGGTCAGAGGAGCAAAGAACCAGAGAAGAGGGTCAGAGGTGCAGAGGAGAAGGTCAGAGGAGCAGAGGAAAAGGTCAGAGGAGCAGAAGATGAAGAGGAGAAGGTCAGAGGAGGAGAGGATGAAGAAGAGATGGTCAGAGGAGCAGAGGATGAAGAGGAGAAGGTCAGAGGATGAAGAAGAGAGGGTCAGCGGTGCAGAGGATCAAGAGGAGAGGGTCAGAGGAGCAAAGAACCAGAGAAGAGGGTCAGAGGAGCAGAGGAAAAGGTCAGAGGAGCAGAAGATGAAGAGGAGAAGGTCAGAGGAGGAGAGGATGAAGAAGAGCGGATCAGAGGAGGAGAAGATGTAGAGAAGAGGGTCAGAGGATGAAGAAGATGCAAAGTGGTCAGAGGAGGAGAAGATGAAGAGGAGAGGGTCAGAGGAGCAAAGAACCAGAGAAGATTGTCAGAAGTGCAGAGGAGAAGGTCAGAGGAGCAGAAGATGGAGTAGATGAGAAGGTCAGAGGATGAAGTTAAGAGGGTCACAGGAGCAGAAGTTGAAGAGTAGAAGGTCAGAGGATGGAAAAGAGGGTCAGAGGAGCAGAGGAGAAGGTCAAATGGAGCAGAGGATGAAGAGTAGAAGGTCAGAGTGAGGAGGAGAGGGTCAGAGGAGGACAGATTTAGAGAAGAAGGTCAGAGGAGAGAAGATGAAGATCAGAGGAGAGGATGAGAAGAGATGAGAGGGTCAGAGGTGAAGGCAGAGAGCAGAAGGCAGAGGATGAAATGAAGCGGAGGTGCAGAGGACGACGAGGAGAGGGTCAGAGGTTCAGGAGACGATGGGAGAACATTTCCTCTCGTTCTTCTTGACACCTCGCACGTGCATTTAGTGTTGCAGTTAACTCCTTCCCCCCGGCCTGGTGCACATCTGCTCCCGGTTCCTCCTCAGAGCTCACACGAGGACACACACACACACACACGAGGACAGAGTCTGAGCCGCGCACACACACACACACACACACACACACGAGGACAGAGTCTGAGCCGCGCACACACACACACACACACAGGACAGAGTCTGACACAACACACACACAACACAACACACACAGGACACACAGACACACACACACGAGGACAGAGTCTGAGCCGCGCACACACACACACACACACACACACACACGAGGACACACACACACGAGGACACACACACACACACACACACACACACGAGGACAGAGTCTGAGCCGCGCACACACACACACACACACACACACACACACACACACACACACACACACGAGGACAGAGTCTGAGCCGCGCACACACACACACACACACACGAGGACACACAGACACACACACACACACGAGGACAACACACACACGAGGACACACACACACACACGAGGACAGAGTCTGAGCCGCGCACACACACACACACACACACACGAGGACACACGAGGACACACACACACGAGGACACACACACACACACACGAGGACAGAGTCTGAGCCGCACACACACACACACACACACACACACACACACACACGACACAGGACACACACAGGACACACACACACACACACTGAGCCGACACACACACACACACACACACACACGAGGACACACACACGAGGACACACACACACGAGGACACACACACACACACGAGGACACACACACACACAGACACACACACACACACACACCACACACACACACACACACGAGGACACACACACACAGACACACACACACACACACACACACACGGGACACACACACGAGGACACACACACACACACACACACACACACACAGAGGACACACACACGGACACACACACACACGGAGGACACACACACACACACGAGGACACACGAGGACACACACACACACACACAGACACACACACACACACACAGGACACACACACACAGAGTCACAGGACACACACACACAACACACACGAGGACACACACACACACACACACACACACACACACACACAGGACACACACGAGGACACACACGAGGACACACAGCTGGACGCGACTCTCCTCCTCTGCGACTCTGCGCCTCATGTCGAATGTTTCACGCTCTGCTCACACACGTCCACACACATCTGCACCAGAGCGAGGAGGAGGAGGAGGAGGAGGAGGAGGAGAAAAGACTTTATTAACGTCGTACAGTGGAGAAGATCATCTGGTTTTTACGCAAATATGAAGAAAACTAAATTCAAGACAGTAGATCAGGAGCGTCAAACTCATTTTGGTCCGGGGGCCGTATCCAACTGACTTTGATCCCAAAGTGTCCGGATCAGAAAACTCATGTCATATAAACCCCAAAAATAACAATAAGTTCAAATATTTGTGCAGAGAAACACAAATCTATTACAGAAATCTTTTTTAATTGATGAACTCTTTCTTTTACAAAATATTATAATATTATGAACAACCTGAAACAATTTCAACACAAAGTTTAACATGAACTTGTCTGCAAATAGAAATAAGTAAATTTTGATTGTAAAATCCTGCACTCGGCTCCACTTTTCTCATGTTGGACATTTTTCTGATGAGGGTGTCACGGTCAACAGTCAAAACGATCGTCCTTTAAGAGCGTTTGGAAAGAGACAAGTCTTCATTTGTGCTGCTCTGGTGGGAGGGGCCACGTACAGAGACGCTGGAGACGCTGCTGTGATAAACACCACAGAAAATTAACAAGATTTTAATAGAAAATATAATTCAAATATTTTAGTAGAAAATCAGTCGAGGGCCAGATTAAAGGTCTTGGACGGCCAGATCCGGCCCCTGGGCCGTATGTTTGACACCCCTGCAGTAGAAGTTCTAACGCCGGGAGTTCACTGCATGATTTTGATTTCTGAGTGTGAGGAAAATCTTGAGTCGTAGTTAAAAATCATCAGATATTGAAAAGGTAGATCTCGCTTTGGCTACTGCTGTCAATACGTCAACAGAGCCGCCATCTTGGTACTGGAGAGCGCTGCTTTAAACGAATGGATGATTTACAGAATTAAAGTGAATGAAAAGTTGTATTTTCTTAGTTTGTTATAAACGTCAGACGTGTGTTTACGACCGAGACACAAATAAAGTGATAAAGAAGAGGATTTTGTTAACACAGGAGAGAGAGAAAGATGGAGATGTAGGGATGGGTTCAAGAGATATGAAGAGGGAGAGAGAGACGGAGAGAAGAGAGCAAGAGATGGAGAGAAAGTGATGGAGAGGGAGAGAGAGTGATGGAGAGAAGAGAGAAAAAGAGACGGAGAGAAGAGAGAGATGAAGAGAAGAGAGCAAGAGATGGAGAGAGAGATGGAGATAGAGAGAAGAGAGAGATGAGAGATGGAAAGAGAGAGGGAGATGGAGAGAGAGAGAAGAGAGAGGTGGAGAGAAGAGAGCGAGATGGAGAGACAGAGATGGAGAGGAGAGAGAGAAAGAGACGGAGAGAAGGGAGAGATGAAGAGATTGAGAGGGAGAGAGAGTGATGGAGAGAAGAGAGAGAGAGACACATGGAGCCAGAGAGATGGAGATAGAGATGGAGAGAAGAGAGAAAAAGAGACAGAGAGAAGAGAGATGAAGAGAAGAGAGCAAGAGATGGAGAGAGAGAGGAGAGAAGAGAGAAAAAGAGACGGAGAGAAGAGAGAGATGAAGAGAAGAGAGCAAGAGATGGAGAGAGAGATGGAGATAGAGAGAAGAGAGAGATGGAGAGATGGAAAGAGAGAGGGAGATGGAGAGAGAGAGAAGAGAGAGGTGGAGAGAAGAGAGCGAGATGGAGAGACAGAGATGGAGAGGGATTGATTGATTGAGCGAGAGAGACGGAGAGAGAGATGGAGAGAAGAAATAGTTGGAGATGTGAAAGGAGAGAGAGATAGAGACCGAGAAGGAGAAAGAGATGGGGAGAAGAGAGAGATAGAGATGGAGAGAGAGGTGGACAGAAGAGAGAGAGTTGGAGAGGTGAAAAGAGAGAGGGATAGAGATGGAGAGAAGAGAGTGAGGAGAGAGAAAGAGATGGAGAGAGAGGTGGACAGAAGAGAAAGATGGAGAGAGGAGAGTGAAAGAGATGGAGAGAGCAGAGAGAGAGAGATGGAGAGGGAGAAAGATGTAGAGTGATGAGAGGGAGAGGCAGAGATGAGGAGAAGAGAGAGAGATTTAGATGGAGATAGAAATGGAAAGAAGAGAGAAATGGAGAGAAGAGAGAGATTTAGATGGAGAGGGAGAAAGAAATGAAGAGAAGAGAGCAAGATGGAGATGTAAAAGTAGAGAGACGGAGAGAGAGATGGAGGGAGGGAGAGACTGAGAGAGGTGAAAGTCGAGAAGAGAGAGATGGAGAGAGAGAGAGAACAGAGAGAGATGGAGAGAGAGAGAGAGAACAGAGAGAGATGGAGAGAGAGAGAGAACAGAGAGAGATGGAGATGTAAAAGTAGAGAGATGGAGAGAGAGATGGAGAGAGAGAGAGAACAGAGAGAGATGGAGAGAGAGAGAGAACAGAGAGAGATGGAGATGTAAAAGTAGAGAGACGGAGAGAGAGACGGAGAGAGAGATGGAGAGAGAGATGGAGAGAGAACAGAGAGAGATGGAGCAGCTGTGTTCCACCTGTGTGAGCACATCTCTGTTGGCACAAAGCACCAGGACCACACCAGCTGTTTAACCTACAAACCCCACCGGCTCTTTCCATCTCTCCATCTCTCCATCTCTCCATCTCTCCATCTCTCTCTCTCCATCTCTCCATCTCTCCATCTCTCCATCTCTCCATCTCTCTCTCATCTCTCTCCACCTCTCCATCTCTCCATCTCTCCATCTCTCTCTCCATCTCTCTCTCTCCATCTCTCCATCTCTCCATCTCTCTCTCTCCATCTCTCCATCTCTCCATCTCTCCATCTCTCTCTCCATCTCTCTCATCTCTCTCCACCTCTCTCTCCATCTCTCTCTCTCTCTCCATCTCTCCATCTCTCTCTCTCACCTCTCTCCATCTCTCCATCTCTCCATCTCTCTCTCCATCTCTCCATCTCTCCATCTCTCCATCTCTCCATCTCTCTCTCTCCATCTCTCCATCTCTCTCTCCATCTCTCTCTCTCCATCTCTCCATCTCTCCATCTCTCCATCTCTCCATCTCTCCATCTCTCTCATCTCTCCATCTCTCCATCTCTCTCTCTCTCTCCATCTCTCCATCTCTCTCTCATCTCTCTCTCCATCTCTCTCCATCTCTCCATCTCTCCATCTCTCCATCTCTCTCCATCTCTCCATCTCTCCATCTCTCATCTCTCCATCTCTCCACTCTCTCCATCTCTCCATCTCTCTCTCTCCATCTCTCCATCTCTCCATCTCTCCATCTCTCCATCTCTCTCTCTCTCCATCTCTCCATCTCTCCATCTCTCCATCTC